ATAACTACTTGCCAGGCATGGTGCACACCTTTAATCCCAGCACCTGGGAAGGTGAAGGCAGGTAGACCTCCAAGTTAGAGGCCAGCCTGGGCTACATAGTGAGATTCTGTCTCAAAACAAAACAAGTCAAAAATAACAAACAACAGCAACAACAAAACACTCCCCAAGTGAAAAAATAAAAAACAAAACAGAAAACAGAAAACTATACAAAATACATATATTTGTAAGTATTTCAAATAAACTGCAAAACATGAAATTTGAAAGCATCTAACTACATAATGAAATTAATGTTAAATGCTTAAATTATTATTTTTTAAAATATAGTTACATATATATATATATGTGTGTGTGTGTGTGTGTATGTATGTATGTATGTATGTATGTATGTATGTATGTATATAGTTGTGTGGTGATCCTGGTGTGATGGCCAAGTTCAGGACTACACAAGTTTCAAGGTGAGTTTAAGGGTGGCCTGGGCTTCAGAAAGAGATCCCATCCCTCACGACTAAAAAACAAACAAACAACACCATAAGAGCTATGCAGTGATCTCTACAATAGTGCTCCCAGACGTCACCCTTCAGCAACACCTAGAACCTGCTCCACTCTTATCTAGCTTACACTGGATTTTGCTGACTAAATTTTGTTATGATTTCACCATAGTAAATCTTTTTCAGTTAAATGACTAACTTCAATTTTGATTTAATGTCACACACACACACACACACACACACACACACACACACACACACACACAAAAAAAAACTATTTAAAAATGTTTGATGGACACTGCCCAGCAGAGTAATACCAAGTATGTTTTAGTCAAAGCAGAAGTTTCCATTTTTGTGTTTAACAAGATAAAAAGAACAGAATCACGAGAGAAGAGGATTATATATTTTTTCTAATATAAAAGGGGAAATTACAAAAATAGACCATTTGTAGAGAAAACAATTATGAAGCACAGACACCTCTAAAAGTGACTAAAATGAAAGCGGCAAATGAATTTAGAGGCGATGAGGAAAGAACAGGGCCTCCACACAGTGCAGGGTAATGTGTCTGAAATTCTTCCTCTGTTTGCTCTTAACCTTTCTCTGTCATAACTAAGAGACAGTATTTAGAAAGGCACGAGAATGGCACAGGGGACTTGACACTGTAGTGTCTGAGAATCTTTTGTCTTTAAAGACAACAAAGAAAAAAAGAAAGAACTTCTAGCTGGGCTGGTTCTAAATACTTCTGCTAGGAAGAAAGAAGTCATCTATGTTTTGGCTTAAATTTACTACCATTCAACTATAAAAGTTAAAACAAAAAAGTCTCTTAAACTACTGTGCTCAGACTGGCTCTGTAAAACTGAATTGCAATTAGTCTCCAGTTGCCACTCAGTTACTTTCTGGTTTGCAGCTAAGATGCACACAGCTTAGAGACTGACGTGGCTTTCTCACAGGGCTGTGGGAAACTTGAGATTCCACCTCGGAGTGACACCTCGGGCACTTGGCTCTCACCTTTCACAGTAGCAGTGTCTGTGACTGGAATGGTTATTTCCTGCCCGTGTTGACATTTCTCTCCACATACCTTGTTCCCGCCCCTTCTGATACAGTGTGGAAAAGCACACAACAACCTAGTCATAGTAGCCGAAGAGAAAAATGGAGATGCTGTGGCCAGTTAGCTTCTTGCCCCCTGCAGTTTTCAGCAGGGCTTTGGTGGCCTGGACACAGAGGCTCAGCCTTCCCCCGGCCAGGTGTTTGCAGCCTGACAAAATGTGTCAGTGGCATTCTCACTCACTGGAGCTTTGGCCTGGCACTTTGTGAGTGTACCTGCTACCATGGCGATTTCTCTTCTTGACATAAATTGTTCCCGGTGATGCAATGAACCGCATTAGACTCACCTGCAAGGCTTACGAGATACAGATTATTGGGCTTTGTGCCCAGAGCCTGATTCAGTAGTCTAGGTTGGGGTCTGGCATGTGTGTGTGTGAGTGTGTGTCACAGACTGTGTGTGTGTGTGAGTGTGTGTGACAGACTGTGTGTGTGTGACAGACTGTGTGTGTGTGTGTGACAGACTGTGTGTGTGTGTGTGTGTGACAGACTGTGTGTGTGTGTGTGTGTGACAGACTGTGTGTGTGTGTGTGTGTGACAGACTGTGTGTGTGTGTGTGTGTGACAGACTGTGTGTGTGTGTGTGTGTGACAGACTGTGTGTGTGTGTGTGTCACAGACTGTGTGTGTGTGTCACAGACTGTGTGTGTGTATGTCACAGACTGTGTGTGTGTGTGACAAACTGTGTGTGTGTGTGTGTGTGTGTGTGTGTGTGTGTCACAGACTGTGTGTGTGTATGTCACAGACTGTGTGTGTGTGTGACAAACTGTGTGTGTGTGTGTGTGTGTGTGTGTGTCACAGACTCTGTATGTGTGTGTGTCACGGATTGTGTGTGTGTCACAGATGACCCTGTGAAAAGCGTTGCTCTAATGCTTCAAAAAGCCCGATATGCTGTTGTTCCACCACAGCCATTTCAGCTAAAACAAAGTTAGGGACGAACAGTTCAAAGACTGCGAGTAGCAAGAACTGCCCCAAGAGGTGGATGGGGCAGCTTAGGGCTTGGAAATACCCTGGGCTCACAGGATTTGTCAAAACAAACACACAAACAACCTACAAAAAAGACAACAGACCCAACCAACCAAACTGAACCCGCATCTCTGCAATGAGGTCACAAGCAAGAAACATTCCCAATCTCTGACTACACTAAACCTTATTTCCACACAACACAAATCTGTAAAATGCTGCATTGCCATATGCTCATCTAGGAAGCTGGTTTCTCATCCTCTCCTGTTCTTCCTCCGTCCCCCGCCCCCCCCTTACCTCACCCCACCCCGCCCCTTTTCTGTCACTTACCAGGCTCTGTGTGCCCTGCTTTGACACTAATCGAGGTTTGACAGTGACGCTAACACACACGGCTTGTGAGGATGTGGGGCAGTTTCCATGGAGACCACAATCTGGGTAGTATGGACAGACACTTTCTGAAAGCAGGAAACGGCTCTCCACATGTTTTCTTGAAGAGACGTCTTCTGCACTCCATCAGAGTGAACTTTGGGCTTACAGGGCTTTCCTCGGTAACCTTTGGAGATGGGAGGCTCATCCTTGCTCAGGACGGTGTCTGATGGAGCGGAGGGCTCTTTGCCATGTGCAAAGCTGTGTGTCTTTTTTATCTTCTTTAAAAAGTGATTTATCTGATCCAGTTTGGTGAAACTCAAGTTTGCTTTCAAAGGCTTTGATACATCTAAGTTGATGTCAGCTATAAAAAAGCAAAAAAACCAAAATCGTAAGGAACTTATTGCATCTCTCCAATTAAACATTATAGTGACCGAGCACCGCATCCTTTATTTGTCACCTCTCCTCATGCAGTTGACCAGGGGGATGTTATCGTCCGGCCTAAATGCTGGCCACTCCCACAAGGCCCAGCACACCTGGACAGGTCCTGCTACCCTTAGGTTCTATGCCAAACTTTCCAGTCTGTTACCTGTCTGAAACTGGCATTTGGTCTCCCAGGAAACAGAACTCCTCATAGAACCAGGACAGTGTAAGATGAAATCATCTCCCGACCAAGCGGCCCCCCTTTCCCTTCCCTGGCCGAGCTTATGCAGAAGTGTGCATTTCTCCTTGATGAACTGCTGTAACCTGATGAGAGTCTGGGACCCGCTGTACATCCTGCATCACTCCAATAAACGTTAAGTAGATAGAAATTTCTTCAACTCTATAGTGCAATGTATCTGTCACATGAAAAATAAAAGAGCCAGAGACAGATACTGGGGTTCAAGCTTCAAGCTGCAGATCAGAAAAGCAGAGCAGCTGGGCAGTAGTTGTCATTCTACCTCAGACTGAATGGATAATCCAACAAGCCTCTGGCTGAAGCCTCTCCTCAGCATGGCTGGGGGATCCTGAGACTTGAATGTCATCCTATCCTTAAAGTGGCTGGAGAATGAATGCCTCAGACTGAGACCTTGCTCCTGTCTTATACACCTCTCTGACGCTGGGACTAAAGGCGTGTGATCCCAGGTGCTGAGATCATCTTTGTGTGACCCATTTCTCTTTAGGACTGGGATCAATCTTGTGTAGATCTGGGTGGCCTTGGGCTCACAGAGACCTGTCTACCTCTGAATCCTAGGATTAAGGGTGTGTACCACCACCTTCTTGCTTTTGGCTGCTGTGATTAAAGATGTGTGCCTGGCTTCAAGGGCTTGTGGCTGACTTTGCTTTCTGATTCCTCAGGCAAGCTTTAATAAATCATAAATATCACCACATGTATCACGTCAGATGTCTTTAAACTGGCCGTATTACTTCTGTTTCCATCATATCTTACCTTGCATGACCTAGTAAGGAATTAATCCAAGTGTATTACCTGAGGGCATATCATCTTTTCCGGGCATGCCATCTTACCAGTCCAGGAATTATTATTTAAACAAATTACTGACATATTCAGATTCAAAGTTCAGAACATTACCATCACCACCGAGAGACAGACAGACAGACAGACATACCACTTAGCCACTACTCATTATTTTTCCTCCACTCCTATTCCCACACCACCAGCAAGCTCTGTCTTTGCATACTTGTTGATTAAGGGACACTGCATATAAACAGAACCATAAAATACTGGATGCTTTGTAGCTTGTTTCCTATTTTATCAACATGCTTCTGAGGGAAAGCAGGCTAGTTTTGATTGGTCTAATGATGAATTTGTCGATGCTATCTCATGCACTTGTGGTCCATTTTGTTTAAGTGCCTGAAAAATATGTATTTAAACTCTGCTCATTGTGTGTGTGAGAGAGAGACAGAGACAGAGAGAGACAGAGACAGAGAGACAGAGACAGAGAGAGACAGAGACAGAGAGACAGAGAGACAGAGAGAGGGAGAGAGAGGAGGGAGAGAGAGAGGGAGGGAGAGAGACAGAGAGAGACAGAGACAGAGAGACAGAGACGGAGAGACAGAGACAGACAGACAGAGACAGAGAGAGACAGAGAGAGACAGAGACAGAGAGAGACAGAGACAGAGAGACAGAGACGGAGAGACAGAGACAGACAGACAGAGACAGAGAGAGACAGAGAGAGACAGAGAGACAGAGAGAGGGAGAGAGAGACAGAGAGAGGGAGAGAGAGAGAGAGGTGAACACATGGGCGCAAAGGGCAGGCATTGCCTTGGCGCAGGTTTGGAGATCAGAGAACCAGGTGAGGCGTCTGCCCGTTTTTCACCTTGTTCGGAGCAGCCTCACTCCTGCGGCAGATGTCAAGCTGGTCCACAGCTCACAGAGACTACCTCGTGTCAGCCGACACCTCCTAGTGTCGGAAGAGCATGAGATTACAGACTACAGACGAATGCTGCTTCACAAGGCTCCATGGGAGCTCTGGGACCCGAATGCAGGTCTCCTTATTTGTGCAATGTTTCCCCTCTGGGCAATCTCTACAGTCCCCAGATCTGCTCACTTTTAACTGCAATGTTTTTTTTTTTTTTCTTTTTAAACTTGAAGGGGTTGTAAAGTTCCTATCGTAAGATACATGGTTTGTAAATATTTTATTTCAATAAGCTGGACTGCCTCTCACTTTATTTTGACCAACTTTTAGCACCATAATTTCAGCTTTTCAACACTGAATATTTTAATTTTTGTGAGACTCAATACATGCATTATTTTGCTTATACTATCTAACCTAAGATCACAAAAGTTTATGCCCATGATTCTTTCACAAGGTTTATAGTTTTCCCTCTTACATTTAGGTCTATGATCTTCTGTGAACTAATTAATCTCTGTGTCTTGTGTGGTGCAGGGGCCCACCTCACTCTGTATTCTGTGGATGCTGAGTCAATCGTAACACAGGCTGCTGGCAGGTATTGTTTGGGATTCTACAGAAAGTAGTTGAGTAGGAGGATAAATATTGTGGGGAAAAACAGACAGTTCAAATGGCCCACACATTTACTTGCTCTGTTGACATAGCCCGTTGTATGAGCCTCCAGACTCTGTGGCCTCATAGCAAGCAACATTGACTTTTTAATCCAATGAGAATCAGATGATTACAATAGTGAGACCAAATAAAACTGAAGCTGGTAAGCTGTGTGCTTTCCCCCGGCTTTATACCAAGAAACTTTAATTTAAAAGTGCTCATTCCATACCCATAGCAACAACTTAGTCACTCACCCAGGAGGTTGCCCTGGACCGAGGGATCCATTTTTCCCTGACTGCAGACTGACAGGACATCCACGGAAGGCAGACATGAGAGTTGCCAACCGTTACCTTGAGATGGATCCCCACTTCTCAGCTACCACGGTGTCCCCAGGAACATGAGTAAGGTTTATTTGTAGCTCTGGCTACTTGCCTAATATGTCCTGCTCTTGAGTTATTTCTACGCCACCTTTTATAACCCTTGTTGCTAAGGACAGAGCACCTCATCTCTTCTCCCAGAAACGCCAGTGCTTTTTGCTGGGTGCTGTTTTACCTTTGCCGAGGTGTTGATCGTGGCTCAGTCAATTCTGACTGATGGGTCTTAGTGTACTGAGCACTGAGTCAGAGTGGAAGAGCCGAAAGAAGACAACGAATGGTCTATCAAAGCCTGCTGGTTCTTTTGACCAACTGACAAGGGCTCAGTCCATCCCTCAGTCCGTCCCTCAGTCAGTCAGCTCCGCTCTGCTACACGGCCACCGGTGCTGGGTAACAGCTCTACTTCCGTCAGCCAATCGCATGGTTCAGACCAGACCTCTGACCTTCAGTTCCTCACTCTACTCTCTCTTTCCTCACTCCCAACCAAACCACCAAATACGCTCTGCCAGTTTTACCTCTAAAACGTTGCTCAACTCCAATCCTCTCCTCTCCAGGATGTCACCTCTCCTCATTTTCTTCCCCATTGTCTCTGATACTGGTCGTCTGCTACAAAGCCTACTGACTGATTTCTCTGCCTAGGCATTTCCTTTCGCCCAGTGCCACAGAGCAATTTCCAAAGTATTTGTTTTGGGTGTGATCCTACTGGGTGCACCTAAAGGAAACATAGGAAGACCTGTGACCTGTGTATTGTCGACATGGACACGGCCATGCTGAGGACGCTAAGGCCTCAGACCCGTGGGACATTAGCAAGACAGTTTCCACATGAGGGCCAGGGCGAAGATGGGTGACAAGGCTCTTGTCGGGAGTTCAAGTGAGTGTTCAGGAAAACTGATCAGTGTAAGCAGATATTAGCAACTGCATGCTTCTGCTCCTGCAGGTTTACACCTTGAGACTGCTTGCCTGCAGAGACGAGCTGACCAGTCCCCTCTGCACTGTACCTAACCAACAAGCTGGGATTCTAGGCTGTGGTGAGAGCAGAACCCCAGGTAATCCCAGCTTTACTGTGTGCACTGTACTTACATAAATTCCTTCTCCTCCAACAGCCAGGGTTCTAGGACGGAGGCTGCAGAGATCATGACACTTACCTGTAATTACAAGTCTTTGCTGACTCCTATTCATTTAGGATATAAAAAGCCAACCTTCTTACTATAGAAGGAAAAAACCTCCCCTTACAGCTGGGGCGATGAGTTGTCTCACCATTAAAGACTCAGTAAGTGGGACCACTTCTCCTGACCCTCACTGGCACAGCCCTAGGCATCTGTGTGTGTAATGTACCTCTGAGGTGTCTGCACAACCTCTGATGGTCAGATAAGGAAGTTCACCCACAAGGTGAAGCATGCGTCCTTCCTTGGAGTTCTCTGTCTGCACACTGTCTTTAAAGGAGCTATACAGGCCCTGCTGGTTAAGAAGACACTAACTACACAGCCTTCATCCTCCCCACACGGCACCAGGCCTCAGACAGCATGAAACATGTGTTGGCTCTCTTTGGACTGGAACATTCCAGAATGTACTAATCTGGTTCTGTGGCAGGCAGAATTCCTAAGAATGAGCTCCCCTCCCAAGAGTCCCACCCCCGGCTACTGAATGCAGCCACTGCTCTACTGCCAAGGGAGTGGATAGTTACTGTCAAGGTGCCAGCTTAGGTATGGAGATCATCTAGTGTGGCTGACGTAATCAAACACGGAATCAAACGTGCCTTTGCAAGGGGAAGTTAGCGTGGTGAAGCATGAGACAGGTTAGCGTGGTGAAGCATGAGACAGGTGGAAGAAACACATGGGCCCTATAGCTGGACAGCGGCTAACCAGGGCTTGGGGGCGTGCATCCTACAGACAGACACAAGGAACAACTGGAATGACTTTAGAAGCAGGCTGTCTTTAGGAAGTGTCCTCGTTACTGCCGATCCCAAATGACACACTCATTTAGGCAGA